TATTTCATTAAGCCCCTGTCCTTATTTTCACAGGCGTGCTTTCTTGAATGAAGCGTTCTCGTTGGCCATCACTTACCCAATATTTTTGAAGATGGCTGGTATACTTGTAGCCAGCTGTGGGTATTGATCGACTTCGTGGGTGGGTCGAAAAGTGGTGGCTGGAGGCCCTGCTTTTAAAACGCGGCTCACATAAGTGTTATTCAGCACAATCCAGCAGAACTTTGGTATCAATAGTACACTGGATAGAAATTAGTTTTGTGTCCATATCATATTTTTTAGAATTACCATCATATTTTTCTGCAGGATTGGTGCTACAGATACCTTCTGTCAAGCGATGTAGTGGCTAACTGATCATGCTGTACATTATAAAGATGTAATACAGTAGCACTGACATCACTATCAATGTTAGTGACAACGACTTTGAACTATTCACCTAGAGGTTATGCTGTGGTAGCTTGGAAGTTATCTGTCAATAGAAAACATATTAACAAGTGATATTCACTTTTTTAGCTCCTGCTCAGTTGACGTACCCAGCCATTTTTTTCTCGTAGCTGCTGATAATTAAAACCTGTACAAGTGAAAACGCACGCATTTACTTCCATGTACATTCGTAGTGGCATTTGAATGCGATGTGGCCTATACAATGACTTGCGGGGGCCAGCCGATGTACAAGTCAGTGTTTTTATCCTCCCAGACAAGTCTGGTACCAATTAACCGACCCCGGAGGGAACTGGGTTGGCCTGGATGATGCATCGTACAGGATTTGATCACCGCTTTACAGGGGTGGCCAAAAAAAAGAGACACTTTGCCCATGGCGCACATCATCAAACTTTTCGTCGCACAGGGGCCGCTGTTAATGAAAGTTTTACGGCGAAATATTCCTTAGATGTCCTCCTATAAGCAGAAGCAGGCCCTCCTTCACTGCCCTTACCATCTTCAGAATATGACGTCATCTATTATCACCAAAAAGCCTATTGCAATCGCTCACCCTGGAGTTACTACTTAATTTCTTCGACCAGCTGACTTTTTGATAGCTTCTTTGGGGCAGTAGCTCCTACTGTGCCAGACCGCTTTTGACCAGCTTCACGACTAACGTCGTAATGTCCACGATACGTCAAAAATTCGCTACGTTCAAGGTTCCATGAGAGACTCTTCTGATGTCGTCGGTATAGAAGGCTGTAGTAACGTTTTTGATAGACTGGAATGTGCTCTTCAATATTCAGTTGGGGCATTCGGTTTGAATTTAGCAAAGTGTATTAATGCCGATTTGAATGTGGAGTAAAGTGTCTCTTTTTTCTTGGCCACCCCTGTATGCTCGTGGTAAGCAGTGTTACTCACCACCACACCACTTCCGCCCAACACAATTAGTGTTTTCTTTCTGAAACTAAGGAGGGCACTGATTTTTCGACCATTTCACACAACGACAACGAGAAAATTCAACTTCAACACTGTTAAATGGCCAAACTGCTAATAGGCGAACGTATACTTTTATGAATGCGAGCGTAAGGCCTCTGGAGAATATGGCTACAAGGCAGTTTGTAGTACGCTCAACGACTGAGGAGTTCTCGAAGGTCGGACAAGGTTTGAATCTAACATTCAAAACCTTGGAAAGATGGCAATGATAGAAAGTCAAAATTAAAGCAACAGTCCAGGCAGGGTTTCAACTACTTGGTCATTAGGCGGTGAAAACATGCCCCAGCCCAACTAAAGTTCATAGGAGATGTCACTGAGTTCAAAACCTACCTCTGAAATGCGCTGGAAGGGGTCGAAATTCACTCGAAGGGGGCGGTTCGCTCATTCCAGGGCGGATCGTTCAACATACGCTGTACAGAGTCCATGCTTGACTAGCGGTCGTTGCGGGACCGCCGCGACCATTTGAGGTCTATCCTTTGAAAATTCGATGCCGAATGTATTTGATTTTCAATGTGTCCCCTTCGATTCAAGGTTTCATTTCAGCGTGCGCTTCAATTACAGTTGCTAGCAATCAGCCAAGTATTTGCAAGCAATCGCAATTGAAGCGCATTACTGCGAGCAGATTTGGACAACTCGTCCAACACACGTCTTCCCCCATCGCTGAACGGCAGAGGGGGTGCCCCTGTCTAAGCCCCAGTTAGGCGCTTTCCTCACTTTTCTTTTTCTATTCGCCCACTTTTCACCTACAACTTCAATATAGGTGCTTTTAGCCCGCAAATTCGTTCCTGGATTGTTGCTTTGAAGGGTCATCGTTCAACAGAGGGATTCGTCATCGTTTCATGTGACAAACCAGGCTATCCGGCCCTTGAAGGCGAACTTTCTGGCCTACTATGATTTGTCCGAAAATATTTTGCCTCAGAATCGCTCACGGTGGAATCACTCAGTTTTACGTTCATCCACTTCAAATCTCCTGACAGATTGACCAAAGGGCAATGTCACGCTCTCTTGGATCAGAGACCGCTCAGACTAGCTCTCCATTTTGCGGAGTTAAGTAAAACGTAACCAGATACGTGAGAGGATATGGAGTGTGGACTAGGAGTTCAGCTGACAGCTGACGAACCATTCCAATCAATCCACAATTATATCTATAAAATAGATCATGCTTGCAAGGCAAGCTTATGAATAGATGAAAGCGCCTTTAGTATTCGCCTGCCCCTTCGGGTGATCTCGGTCTTAGCGTAGCCCTATTCCGGTACAGAGATCGCATGTTGGTAGCATCCAAAGAAAACTAATTCGATGTTTCACAAGAATGCTGGTCGGTTTGGTGAATTCAAAACTGTTCGCCCCAGCGGGCTAGAAGCCAGCACCTTCTCGCTTTCTGGGCAAGCTCGACGCTATAGTTTACGCGGGGGGTATAGCGGGTTGGGCCACCATTTTGTTCCAAACTCAGACCGTGTCTGTAATTTCTAAAACAACTAATTAAGGGTATTTTACTGATCGCTCAGCGTCATTCATTTGTTTTGGTTATATTGCTTAAGTTTTTTATTGATAGCGATCAGCTGCGTAGCATAACATAACGTACGTAGTGAGGAAGCAAAACATTTTCAAAATACCAGAGGGACAAATGAGGAAAAGGCATAAGTAAACCTTTTTTCCATGGTTTTGGTTTGACCCAAAGTTCGCGTCCGTGCGCTATTAATCATAACTCCATAGCTGATCGAAGTGAGACGGATAAACATACTAAATGGTGAGGTGAAAGCAGCAGTACTGCCGGCAGGGGCCCTCGGCTAACTTAAGATGATTTTTTGCTATGCTGTTAGTCCGTAAAATGTTAGCATAGAGCCGGCGTACTGAGGCGGACTGGAAGTGCAAATGATGCCTGAGGGCGCTATCCAACAACTCAAGAACCTTTACACAGCTGGCCGTTAATTGATTGCAAGTGCATTTTTGAGTAACTTTAACGAAACCTACTGTAATGCAAGTAATTTTGTCTATGGTCGAAAATTTGTGATTCTTTTTTTTTCAAAGCTTTCAAAAAAAATCTGAAAACATCACCGCCCATTACCGTACTTCAGCTTGTAGATACATAGGCATTTTCTCAGAGCATTCCCCTTAAGGAGTTTTGATGTGATCTCAGCCTCCAAGTTTTCAATCGATCCATCGACAGAGGTGGTAACGAATCCCGGCCCCGTCAAGCGACAATCGTATCCCCTCATGTCACTCGTTGATTTGATCTCTGACCCTCGAGCACAAATCAGAGCAATTAAGTGATGAGTGATCTACACTCGTAATAGCCCAGTATAGGCGCTAAAAATCATCGATTAGTCCATAGGCACAACTAGTCATTCACTCATTTGTTTTTACTGCCTATTACTTTACTTATTCGCTTTTCATTTGACCTACGACTTTATGATTTTTTTCGACATTTTCTATTTTTTTTCATTAAAAAGTTACAGAATTGTGGCAGTAATAGAGCGCAGGACAGATTGACCGTTTCAGGAAAACAAAATACTATCAAGAATTTAATAAAAATGACCATCACTCAATATTTTTGAGATTTACATTTTCAACACACTCTCTGGCCTGAAATTCACATATGTCCAGCTCCCAGTCTCAGTAGCTACCTTTTCAGATTTACGCTTTGAAAACCGATAATCCACCCACACCCAGGTAACTCGGAGTTCTTTGAATAAATGCGCCTGAAGCACCCAGCATGGCTATCCTTTAGAGTGTATAATTTAGTGCGCAGAAAGCTTGTCTAGCGATGAATACATAAGTCCACTGCAATTCCTTAGAAGACAGTTGTGGGCACTGGAATGCCGGTCCGATTCCGAATGAAAGTCAAGTGCATGGCGCAGCCCGGGAAGGAATCGGCCATCTTCGAACTCAGAATTCTCGATGAAAATTATGGAGAATCAATTATTTAAATTGATCTGCTTCGCAGGAATGCTCAAAGCCTTCGATGACATAAGAATCACGAAGGCTTCAGTAGTTGAAGATAACAGATCTTCTTCTCTCAAGGCGCACTACGCGGTACTGAAATGAACCTGAATGAGATTTGTGAGAGGTTTGTCCAATGAACGGTGCACGTAAAAAAGCAAGGGAACTGAAGCCTCAGGCACTGGGCGGCACATCTCATCTCATTGGGAAAAGTTCGTAGGTTGGGCAGCCTCAGTGAAAGTTGAGGTGAGAGAACAAGAAGGTCACGCTGTAGCCAGTTGCCCCGAGTACTACGCTGAATAGTAAGCCTTGCCCAGGAATCTAGGACTTCCCCATCAAATTCAAAATTTTTGCTCCATTTCCGCAAACTCAACCAGTGACTAGACCATAACTTGATCCAGACTCGCTTAACGTTAAATGAAATTTTGAAAAAAGGAATGAAAATGTAGTATTAAGATAAAATTAAGATAAAATAATGTTAGTAATTGTTGTAAAGATTGTATGTTAAAAAGATTCAAAGTAGATTAAAACATAAGATAAATAGTATTGAACCATTCTACGACTTTCAGATCACACCAATCCTAATATAGAGAGTTATTATTGATTGGCACCCAGATCTATAATTACTTACAGGAACGCCCACGGGAATGACCTACCGAATACCTGCGCTCAGATTGGCTATTAGCGCTGTTCTCATATCAACGGCTATAGCAGGTGAGTAGTTTGATCTACAGTTTTATCAACTATCAACGATTTCTATTTGTGGCTAGCGATTTAAATGATCATATAAACTTCGTATAGCATTATTGGTAAAGGCGAATCTTACAATATAAAAGCGATACTGTAAAATAACTTCCTTCACATTGGTTCCGGCGTTTATGTCGTTAGATTTTGAAGAACAGTGGTAGTAAATACATAGCAAGAACATATAAAATCAACAAGAAATATTCAGCATTACCAAGGACGATCATTGGCGATCGCCACTCGCTGTGCGCCTTCGCCAGGCAGCCGCATGCTGTGGCTCGAAACTATCAAACGCGCGGTACGTAATCAGTGCTTTTACTTGGCAGGACAAGCTGAATGATGCCTGAAGAATTATTGTCAACGAAATTTTTGGCGAATTCAGCAGCGTAAGCGAAAACAGTTTGCAGGAACAAACTTAGCCTAGGACTATGGTGATCCTCACGATCCTGTTATGAGAGGTTACGAGTTGCTATTTTTCCAAGCATTACGGATACGGCCAATTTAGACGCCGTTCCTTCGATAGCGTAGGGTAACAGATTGATATTTAAGTTATTTCTTGACGCTATGAGGCCACGCGGTGAGATCGGCTGGAAGAGACTGCGTAGAGGTCGTCATTTCAGCTACCACGCTTGTTGCTTTCTTCGATAAAAGCGGGTAAGCTTACAGCTAAACTAATACGACGTCAATGGGCGTTCCGGGAGTTATCGGATGGAGTTGACCACTATTGACTGGAACTTCGAATTAATCCTTGTCTCCCCTTCCTTCAATCTTTTTTTAATATCAATGTTTTTAACCGAATCTAATTATTTTCTGTCTGTGCTCTATTTTCTTTCCTTCATAATCTCTTCAGGCTCCCACTCAACTGTTCGTTGCCTTTGGAAGACCTCATTTCTGCTTCCAACTGTATCCAAACTGCCATGTTCGGAATGAAAAGCATAAGAGCTATAGCGAATGGAAGGTAAATCTCAATGGCACAGATTCGACTCTCAGCCACTCATAATGGAACACGGTATGACCGCAAGCGTTGATGTAGGTCGTTTGATCTGCTAGATTCCCCCTAATGGCGGCTGCCTGAGGACTATCATGCATGACTTGCAAGTGCCACAATGACTATTACCTTGCGTGATGTCATCTTCATTTAGAACTGAAGATAGCGGTACTGCTCGAAAAAATCAGTGCACTAGTCAAAGAAGTTTGGGGAAAACAGTAGAGTGAATGAAGGGCTTCTCTGCACGAGTCATTTCCTTCAGAATGCCGAGGTGTTATCTCTAGCACCATCCCACCTCATATTATCGTCTCAGTGTGAGTATGTGTTGCCAGCTTTTACTGCCACGAACTACTCTTCGATTACTATTTCTACTATAGGGTGGCGGAAAGGCAAAGGCTATGCCCACTTGGATGCTCTAGAAATAAGTTCTTGTTAGTTGTTTTGTTTACTTAGTTTCCAGTGTCACTACTTTACGTCAGTTGAAGTTGCCTAGTTTGTCCACTTGTTGGATTTCATTCGCTGACTGACTTATGAATTAAAGAATTAAAGAATGCTACCTGCACACTCTAATTCCAGAGTCCAATTCGTTGAATTCACTGGATGCGTTTTTGATCCTGTACCGTAGATGCTTTCGGGGCTGCGGCCTGCTAACGTATCGTTTTCACCTTATACGAGCGGGGCTTAAAAGGCAGTCTACTGCGATTTCTTCAGAAGGCGGCTGAAAAGCCAGAGGCATAAGAGACTTTTTGCAGGAATCGCGCACAAGCACTCCAATTATATTCAAAGTTGTTATGACATATTGAACGGTTTCGACCCTATGAAAATGAGTCCGAGGGCGGTAGTCCAATGTACAGAGTCCTGCTGGCTTTTCTGGGTCGGGGTAGTTGTAAACTACCACCCTGGAGTGGGGGCAATTAGGCTCACCTGCAGGGTCACCTGTCACTACATCACTTCCTTCCATTCGTGGACTTCCCAAGAGCACTTAAGAAGTAAATAAGCAAGCACTTGCATGAATCTAACTAGCGTTCTGGTTAACAGTTCATAGAGAAATTTTTTAGACGTCGAGTGCTGCCAGGTGTTCTCTGATGACTTCACTGATGATTCAGCAACATGTCTCACTACATGCACAAAAGCGCTACGGTCGCCATCCCTACGGACGACCGATAAACTGAAATCGATCAAATCATGTCGCCCGGACAACAAAAATTATACGTACGCTTTCATTCAGGACCATAGGAATTTTTAAGAAATTTTCCTCAAGAAAGGGTAGTAATAAGGAAGGAAAGCGTTTTCTAAAAGCGCGCCAACCCTGTAGATCTAATAGTGAAAAAGGTGAACATGAAAAGCCGAGTCCAAATAAGGACTCAGGATGCGCACACGCCCACAAATCTACGTTCCTGGTCTTCAGTATATTGGCTTGTGAGACCTGGGGAAGGTCGCCCGTTGTTAAAATCGGTCCCAGTTCCCTCAGTTTGGGGCACAATTGAGGCTCTAGAACATAATTACAGGAACCTACTGCATTATACGGGTAAACATTGTGGACAGGGGGGGGCAAGGTAAGAGACACTTTCCCTCCATACCTCAAAAATGGAATAATTTCACATTGAGAATTCAACACTCCAAATCACTCAACCGGGTAGTTGAAGAGCACAATTCAGTCATCCAAAATACTTCAATAAGCAGCCTTCACCATCGACGTATCTCCCAACCAGAGATTTTCTCGCGGACATGGGTAGGGTTACGAAACTCAAACGAAGTCCGCATGGATTCATGACCATTATGACCTTAATTTAAAATGTTGATCGGAAAAGAGTCTCCCATGATACATCGTGTCCTTATGAGGATATCCTCAAGTAAAACGATTAAAAAGATGGATGTAACAGCTTCAGGGGCGGAGCGAGTACTGCCTCCCTTAGCTCGACGGTGATGGCGTCGACGTCTATCTTGAAGACGCGTGCTGTGGCTTTGGAGGGAATCTAAGGGATATTTTCTCTCGTTAGAATTTTTCGCCGCGCCCTACGCGAATGGTTTTGTTCTCTATGGCAAAAAGTGAGCTTTTTTGGCCCCCCCCCCCCCCTTCTCCCTCCTTACAATATTACAGCAAGGGCACTGAACTGTAACGGGGTCTCCCTCCTCGCAGGCAAACCAAACTCACCAGTTTCCCAAGATCTGTGCTAAAGATTCTCTCTAGATCCAACACTACTTCTTAGATTTTCGAAAAAATTTACCTGGGATTTCGGTCCACTTCACTGAAAAGATTCAATACTTTTCTTTGAACCCTCGGTAGAGAAATGAAACTCTCAGTGCTGGCAATTTTTCTACTCGAGTTTGAATTTTCAGTGTTTTCGCCGATGTCAGTCATTTCTTCGATCCAGGACTACTCAAAGCGAGAAATTCCCGTACTTAGCCGTCTGTGATCTTGCCAGTCGGCTTCAGCCAAACGTACTGTACATTGGACCGGCGTTGAAGGACTGAGATACCGCTACCGTAACTTTTGCCGTGTCGTACGGGTACACGCTGTGCTACCGCTTCTCCCCAAGGGTACACAACTGTCTCAGTTTCATGCAAGTTTCAAGGGTCTTATTGAATTGTGTTGGTTTCCTTGTGTTTTCGCGATTATCAAGGATGCGTAATCGCTTTATTACAGATTCCAGAGGGCTAAAATAGCCCAACAAGTAACATTTTTCTAAACCCTACGCAGTAGGTGTCATACAGCATGAGAATGCATGCCTTTTATTTTTTCTATTTTTTTGTAAGCTCTGGAATTTTTAAATGAAAAGCAAGTAAGAATCGAGAATCTTTAACCTGCTTATATCATCTAACTTAGTCCCACTAAAACTGTATGCTGAAGTTATTTCAAATGTTTTAAAGTTTATAACAGTCAGAGGCGCTGACAAATCCCTTCTTAGGACGCGCCACGCGTGCGTTTTCCGTTTTTTTATTTAAACGATTCCAGAACTTACCAAATCTACTTTTTGCTCCGTGGTCTCTTGTTTAAGGTCATAGCTTAGTTATTGTCATGCCATATTCTACCTGTTATAATTACAAAGAAAATCGAACGCCTTATACATTATTATGCCTTGAATATTAACTTACTTGCAAATTAAGCCTTATGCATGATCGATTTACAGCAAAACTCTGAGGCCTCCTTAGATTTATCACCCACAGTACCTAGCATTTATTGTCAGAAGTTCCAGGTTTTTTTGTCATATTTCTTTGAAGATATGTAAACACGAGTTAACTTCGATATAATTCGAGGTTGTTTTTCGAGCCGATCGATTATCGATCGTATTGAATCCCAGTTCGCACAGATGTCATATGCATGTACAGAATGAGTTGTCATAATCAATTTTGTTGTCATACATTTTCCCTTTTTCATTGCTTTTCATTATTCTGTCATAATCGTTGTCATATTGAGAGTTGTCATTTTTACCTAACGTCATAACGTCGTAAAGGTGTCATCCAACCATGTCATACCTTTTTCTTCTTTTTTTGCTTGTTTGTTACCCATGCTTGTACTTTAATGGGACGATGTACCTTTGAAAGGTCCTCATTTTTCTTTCTCGTTTCATTTTTTTTTTATTTTTTCATGGTTATATGCATCATTTTTGTATCTTTCGCTTTACCATAATAAAACTTGGAAATGCTTGAAGTTTTTGAGAATTTTTGAAAATTAAGAGATGTGAAGCAGTGCAGACTGCGTAGCTTCGATTCACGCTGCCGGACTCCTCCTAAGACCTCGGTCAGATCGCGGTTGCGTCGCTATACACCAGCGATGGATCGCTGTGGAGACGATAGGAGTATAATCAGAAAAAGACTCGCCCTCGTCGCCGGGATGATGTTACAGCGACGCAATCCGAGTCGGACAAGCGTCTAATTGGCCACACTTCAGGTCACGAAGTCGATTTCGCACGAAAAATCGATATCCAGGGGATTTACACTTGCTCCACTGTACCATGGTATATGTGGCACTAAAAAAGAAGAGGAATAAGTGGTCCAAAATAAGCGATTTATCGAAGGAGACCTGAATCCACAATTGTGACAGAACCGGCTGTGGGGAAAAAAAGGACTGCGAATCGATCGTTCATTATGCACCACGTATTTGGTTTCCACCCTGAAACCATTCCAGTTACTTAATCCATCTAGCGACTTCAAGACCCGCCTATCAAACAATGATTCCTAAGCTTACCAGGAAGATCGTTGAAGCAACACTCCAGCCAAAAGTTCGTCTCGAAGAATCTATGTCATTGCGGAAGGATAGATGTAGACCACGTGTGTCAGGCCACTCAGAAGTGTCGTGGGTGTCCGACTTGAGCGGATCGCGCGAAAGCGGCGCGACGAGGCGTCTTAATGAAAGCTGGCTGGCGGCACTCATCTTGGCTCTGTGCGACGAGTTAACTTGCTGCGTGATGCTGCGCAGATTAGCTTCGCCTTGCGCGACTTGTACTTAACTGCGCCGCGTTCGAAGGAATGCTGAGTGTTTTTAGATTGGTTTTACTTGCTCCAGTTTCATTATTGCATTTCATTGCTTGTATTGATGGCTATGCGACTAGTTGCATTTCTTGCTGGGGACTACCCAGCAACAAATGTAAGCTAGTTCAGACGACTCGTCCAAACGAAGGGGAAGAGTGGAATTCCTTGTTTGAAGGCAAGAATCAGGATTAAATTGATGGGGTGATTCCACTCAAATGTGAAAGTAGGGATGGAAGGTGGACCGCCAGTGGAGAGAAAAAGAAAGAAAATCCTGAAATACACAGGAAATATGAGCATTTTGCTCCATGCTGTGGAGATGCAAAAGACAGGCAGTAATGGAGGTGAGAGATTACGTGAGGCCGCGGAGAGTGGTTAGAGAGCGAGAGAGAGAACATAGCCACATCAAAGTGGCGACAAACAAGAGAAGATTATCGAGCGGTGGGTCCGACCATGTTAACGGTTTGGTGAGCTGGTTAGAATCCATGACGACCTCAGCGGCGGGTCTATGGACACGGTTTCGTATTCGAAATGTAGAAAGGTGATGTCAGCCTTGCACTGGCAAACCAGCATTCTAGCCATGATAAGGGCTTCTTGTGGTTGTCTAACCTAGAACTTTGCTTTTGGAGGGCTTGTGTCGGCCAGCTTTCTTTGTTCGTTGTTTTCATTTGCCAATCAAGGCATCCATAGGTTTCATTGTCGTCCGTCTCTCTACCTATTAAGTCGATCTCGGGGTGCTGCTTTAACGTGTTGGGGAAAGTCACGATTGAGTCTGTTGAATCGACCGGATCAAATCCTAAGCTCCTGTGAAAGCACACCAATCGCAGGAATTGAAACGTTATACATTGCTTCTATATCACAAAGCGCTTTTTGGCAGAGCGCAAACCTCTAAAACGTCAAAAAATGTGAAAGTATACCCCAAAAAGATATTATATAGATTATTTCGCTCCAGCACTTCCAGTGGTTTCTTTTCCTTATTTTCCATTCACGCCCACTACGCCCTTTATTCAATTTGCGAGCAGAATAGCCACATCTATTGATCATGGGTGCCTCAGAGGAATCGTACTTGCTCCTCCCCATAAAAGTATCACTTGTGATATCTAGATGAAGTGTACAGCGCCCCATGCATGAACCTACAGTTTCAATAAGGAAACAAGCTTTGAATTTGTGGAAACAGATAAACATCTTGACGAACAAATATGCGTTCCCTTGTCCCCGCCCGACCTACCCACGACCGTCCCCAGAGCGTGGTTTTCGTGGGTTTGTTTTCTTCAAAAACAATATCAAACTTTGAACGTTATCTCTAGTGATCACAGTTGATGTAATATTGGGGAAGATTGCAAGAGTTTTCGTGAACGATTCCTTCAAGGATGCGAAACGATGCGGTGAAGGGTGTGGACCCAGCCGCCCAACACGGCCATACCCGCTCCGCCCCCCCCCCACAACTCCCCTGCCGTCTGGTTCTAGCCGCTCCAGCAGAGAGAATGTAACGATTATGAGGGCAGTAACGATGAGACACGCCTAACCCGCAAATGAACGCTCGAGGATGGGCCACTTCTCGGGCTCCAGGCCCCTTTTCCTGGTTTTTCTTCATCTCTGCATCCTGAACTTCTCTACCGTGATTTCTAGTGGGCTGACTTTTCGTCGTGAGCTCCGCCTTTATTGCTGGAAATAGAACGATGCGGTTCCCGTGCAGGATCCCTTCGATGGTTGTCGAGGAATCGTTCTTTTATCGTCGGTCGCAATCGCGCTGAAAACGATCATTGCTGTTCCACGTTTTGATTTGTAAGAGAATTCCAGAAGTCATACAAGGTGCCTACGTGACTTTTAACATTCGTGGTTAGTTCACTAGTTTTTCTCACTCCTAAAGCAACCATCAAGCTTCCCAGACCTATGACCTGACGCGGATGGCAGATCACTTAATCCTGAGCATAAAAAAGGAATGGCTTTGGGCGCATCAGCAGCAGTCATAGGCATCAGCAGAAATCTCTAATCAGCAGCTGCTGATCAGAGATTTCTGTTTTCTCCGAAGCGTTTATGGTTTTCGAATTATGGTTAAATACATGTAGATCATTAGAAAAGGGATAATTGGACATACACCAGAAAAAAACCTTTGTAATCAAAGAGCTACTGCTCCTCAGGATTGGGCTATTGAAAAAAAGGATTAAAAAAGCAGAGCGAGTAGCTCCAGACACATTCTGCTCTATCGCTTCGGGGTTCAGGCATGCGAATCGAGTGAACAAACCCTTCGCGGTCATGGGTAATCGTTAACGAAGACAAATCCATAGTCTTACATCACTTCGTCTCATCATTCCGTCAGGAATTGCTGTAGTTTCGCCCTAAAACTACACTACAAATGAAACTCTGAGCTATTGTCTGGCCTATCACAGAAGCAAATGAGCAACGTTGAGGGTTCCATTAACCTTACCGGTACTGGTAGTTTATTATGTACTAACCCAGTGTTCTTCAGCTCTTAACGGCACGCCGTAGTGGCGTCACTCACACATAAATTAGCTTAATTCATTTTATCACCTCTAGAACACGCCTCAGCTCCTGGT